GAAGACAGTCAGGTTATTAAGTTTATATTGACTGGTATCTATTTTTTTCTGTTGGAAGACCATCAAAATGGAGGATGGATCAACATAGATACTTTGTAATACTGTCAGAAAATATCTCTGGGTCCGCTCCTGTTATTGACCATGTTACCTGTTGTGCAAGATTAAAATTCAGTGTTGACTGACAGTGCTATTATAAGCATTATTTATTATTGCATCAAAATTGACAAAATGACCTTTTTTGCATCTTTATTTTCTGTTTTTTGTCTGTACATTTGACAGCTTTGCTGCCTTGTTTTAATTATCATGTATTTTTTTATATGAGCAAAAATGTTCATTAGCTTGGTAGTTGGATCATGTGTGAAAATTATGAAACACATGCTAACGGTTTGACATTTTTTTCGACTTTTGTTTGATACTTTTCTTATATATTTTCTTATACTTTGACTATTTGTGGATTGGATGAAAGAAAATGTTGATAGATCTCCTGAGATGGGGTGACTTGGTTGTGAGAATGCCCGCTTCTGGAGGAGGAAGAGGACAACGCAGATGAGACCCTGTCCAGGGACATACCAGTGCATCAGAAACATGTTCCATGTTGTGTAAAAATGTTCATTAGCTTGGTAGTTGGATCATACATGAAAATTATCAAACACAAGCTCAAATATTTTCATACCGTTAGCTTACGGCCAACCTGGTCAGACTGATGTGATGTGAGTACATGTTACACTCACTGACATTTATAAGAGGGTCCTGGCCGCTATACCACCTAGCGGTCAGTGAGTGTAATATTTAGGCTTGTGTTTGATGATTTTCATGTATGATGTTCCGTGTTATTAATGGCCTCTCTAGGGGTTGAAGCAGGGGCTAAGTAACTGATCTGGCAGTGTTCGTATGCTAGTTTTCAGTCATCTGTGAAGGCCCACGTGGTCTGATGGCAAGCACAGTTTCCAGATTAATTGTGATAAGCACTGTTCTGGTGGTAAATTGGAATGCACAATATTTCTTTCAGTTGTTTACAATGTATTTATTGTGGAATGTGAATCTTATACGAACAGTCATCATCCCTTTAACTCTCTCGAACTACCAGCTCAATATTTAATAATCTGCATAACGTGTTGCATGCCTTTCATTTCAGATATTTTAGGAGACGGCAGCGTCCACCCTACAGATACGCTGAGAGGACCCTGGTGGCTGCGTGGATGGAGAGGTAACGAGATGAGGCGTATTATTAGGCGACTCAACTTAACAGGTGCGAAGTTACGGTACTACCGACCGACCAAGTATAAACAGCTCAAAAAGAGACTGAAGTTTTTGTATAAGAGACATAACGTGGGTCGGAGGCGAGGCGGAGGACTGCATTGAGGATTTCTGGCAGAGGACTGTTTTAAGGATTTCTGGTACTTGTGTTTACCTAGACTGTTGATGGCCACTAGCATATGGTTGATGTTACCTATACAACTTAAATTTAAAGATGTTCTTTTTGGAAAATTTATTGAATCCTCCTAGTTGTCCAACACTACCAGATAACCAAAGTTCTTGTATAAGAAACAAAATGCCGTTAATTTCATTCTCAAGGCACTGTTATTTTGCCTGGATGAGGAACGTAAACATCAGACGAACTAAGAACAGGCATAATGCATATTAAGTGCCAAAAAATTTGTGAGCAAATTTAAAGTTGTCATATAAATGGCAATGTTTAGCAAGGCTGATGCAGTGGATCACTGGCAGATTCAGAGTATTAGTCATATTGGTTTAACCCCTTCATAAAATATGTCAGAATGTAAATCAATATAGCTGTAATGTTATCTTTAGTAATCAAATGGGCCAGGAGTCTTCTCATATAATAAATATGGACATGAAATTAATTTAAGGAAGCTTGACATGTTGTTTTCTGTGAAATAAATGAACCTCTCTTTATATTTTAATATTAAATTGTCTTTTTTATCCTAACTTATATTAAATTGAAGACAGCCAGCATCTGCAGGCTTTCGTTATTTGTTTAATGTGGCTATTTGTACGTGACGTGAAAGTCTATCGTGGTTCATTAAATTATTCAATCATTTCGACCGGATCGAAAAAGTCGGATGGCCATCAGTAGAGTATAATGTCTCGATTCTTATTCAGTATCCTTGTTTGGTCATTATGTACCGTGTATTACACGTTTTATTATCTGCCCATTGCTTAGTTTTAATTCTCGAGGTGAAACCCTTAAAAATCTAGACTCCGGAATAAACGAATCAAAAAGATAAGTGGTGACTCATGGGCGTATATATATTCCATTAAGTGTTTGGTGATCACTAGTGCGATTTGTACTGTCGTAAAAAAGTACATACAAGTTCCACGATTAGATTGGGGGTTGAAGAACATAAACAGCCTCTTTAAGGCATAATTAACAGTTTTGGGTTGGTATAAACCTGTATTAGGCAGCAATTGCAACAGCAGTCCAACGAGTCCGAAAATCAAATATGGCCAACCCACTTGAATGCGTGTAAGCGTAATTCCTGCTGGGAATTTATTCAGTGTAATTTAGGGGATTAGACTGCAGGCTTTTTAGCGGGTCGCCATATTTATCAGGATCAACTTGTTCTGAATGTGCCCTTAGACCTGCACTCAGGCAATCCAATCGAGGGGCAAAATACACAACGTTCGATTGTCAATAGGTGTGTGTTTTATTGTGTAGGCATTGTGAATAAGCAAGGTAAAATGGATTTTCTGTGACATGACCTAAAAACGCCTTTCCGTATTGACTGGTCGCAGAACTCGGTGTTCAAACACGCACTTTTAGCTAATTTACTAGTATATATTCCCGAATCCTTTGGATGATACACACGGCAGTTAAACGTACAGGTGCATGCGCAACCAAAGGCAATGTCGGGTAGATGGTTAAAGATATCCACAGCGTTGGTTTTCTTCGTCCTAAGTACTTGGGACACTATAACGGATTGGGCGACGTGGAATCAACTAAATAAACAGGCAAATTTTGGCGAAACCCCCTCGGGAATAGACCCTCCCTCTGCCAAGGGAGTCTGTGCATTGCTGGTGTTTACCATCTTTGGAACTATATTGTACTTGCTTGAAATAGTGAACATATGGAGCCCCGTTTGTCGTGACGGTAGTGCCACTGACTGCTGTGACGAGCGATGCGAAGACTGCTGTGAAACCGAGTGTGGTATAAGTCATTATGAGGACGGGTCATGTCGTGGCATATGTAAAACTAAGACCACAGCTTTGATGGAACCTCTTGCTCTTCAGCTGCTGATTCTGTTCTTGGAAGAATTACCGCTGGCTGTAATTAATTGGAACCTTAGTAAACACCGAGAAAATTATACCACGTACGTGTTGGCAGATTCTAGCCTCAGTGACTGGAATGTTGTCGCCCGGGGCCAGGTGGATTTGGGCAATGATTTCACGCAGAATATGCGAAAGGGATCAGCAATGCTGGCGCAAGTGGGTCTTCTGTGTGATGTTAATTCCGTTTGTTTTCATCACAGTTTTCAACATCCTGGAGTGGGAGGCTCGTGAGCACACCCAGCAACTTCGCCAGCTCTGTTGAGATTCAATAAAGATGTTTTCGAATTGTCAAAATAATTTGAGGAGACGATAACTTATAACCAAAACATTTTTAAATTGCACATCCATGGGTGAATAAATTAAGATACCCTGTAATATGAGGAGGTCCATGGATATGCATCCCTCTGCATCGACATACAAGCCGCAATGGTGCCAAAATTTCGAAGACAATAAGGTCAATTTTCCAATGAATCTGTAAACAATATGAATCTATAAACATCACAGATTCCAATGAATCGCCAAACTTACGTCTCAGTTTTGGCGTAGGCCATTATTTTTAGCTGTTTGATGTTTTTTGTAATATTTTAGTCGTTAGTAAAGTCCTCAATCCAGTTATATCCATTATTATCAAGACGATGTGGAGACAGGGCACATTAAAATATTTTACACGGACCACGGCAAAACTGCATTCTAATATAAAGTTCTTTACAAAACCTTCGTTAGCAGGCATTGTGAAAAAATATACTTGGTTGAGGTCTAAATGTGTCAGTAAAATAGACGTGCATTCTATTTTAAATCTATATCAGCACATTCGCTATTTTGGAGTTATTTGTTTTGAACGTTCTTCACAGCATGATGAGCCTAATGTTTTCCTCTACTTGTTGACTTTGTATTTAAACTTCGCGGATCAATGCTGTGTCACATGACTAAAAATTCCCATTCTATTTTTACCTCACTGACTGCCGTTTCCTCGGCTCAAGACGCCATATTTACTGATCTCATTTGTGTGCGTGCATAACGACCGTGCATAACAGGGTCAAAAACTGTAAGTACGTCACATTTGACACATTAAACTAACAAAAGCCATATCTTTTAATTGGCACTGATACATTCGTTATATCTTTTGATTTTAATAGGTCTAGACTTATTCACCCTGAGGATCAGAGATAACTTGACACTAACCTCTTCACTATAGCATATATTCATCGTGTCAAGTTACGATGAAGATATGCCATAGTGAAGAGGTTAGTGTCAAGTTATCTCTGAAGCTCAGGGTGGGCTTATTGGACACCCAAAAATAGGCTTTGTTTATTTGACAGCGATAGCGGTTTTGAAATAGAATGGGAATTTTTAGTCATGTGACACAGCATTGATCCGCGATGTTTAAATATAAAGTCAACAAGGCTACCCCACACTCTTATGACAGACAAACGCAGTGTGAAACCCCGCCATCACTGACTGCACCACCCATACCTAAACTGTTTAACACACCTTCACCCGCCACAGATACGCCATCCAAAGGGGCCGTCACCCCAAAGCGCCGCCTTCTACCTTTGGGGAATGCATCTCCACCTAGGTCAGTCAGTGTTAGTACACGTGTTTGCACCACTCCACGCCCCAGGACAGTGGATAGTCAATCTGGAATATCCTAGCCTCTTACCATGGATCAACATAGACGCTCCACTAGTGCCACTCTACCCCCAGCTTGGCAAAAACATTTGTCATAAGCATTTGAACTCTTGTGTAGTTGAACACCAATGTTTTCCGTTCCTGTTACCATTTGCATATTCAATTTAACTGTTACTCCTATTACTTTGTAGTTTACTTGTCTTCTCACACTAGTGACCTCTCATAGATCATTGAAACTTTTCAGTCTTTCTACTGACGTTGGTTATCAGTGAACCTAAAAACTTGGGGGGAGATAAAGGATTACTACATTGTATTTATGTAGACTTATGTAATTTACTCTTCTGTTTCAGATAGCGATCATTGTCAAGTTGGACCAATAAATGCTTAAACGACAACTAGTACAGTGTACTTTTAAAATTATTTAGGGCTGATACAACACCCAGTGGGACGTGTTGTTCATTTCTCTTCTTTGTAAATATAGGTAAACAACGTGTAAAATGGCTGCTGCACTTTGCACTGATCTGGCGGCCCAGAGAGAGCATAACCTTCTGGTAAACAGGCTACATGATGAAATAGGGGAAAAAAAGACCAAAGAAATGCGCCAGTTACTTCAACCTATATTGAAAAAGAATCTGGATAAGTTTGACGTGAGAACCATCCTGAACGAATTGACCAATAATAGTGTTATCAATGTTGGTGAATATAGTTATTTGAAGCAGGTACTATCAGATATACATCTTGAAAAGCTGTTAGATATTGTGGAAAAGACAGAAAAAACATAGAAACTCTCCTCGGCAGCAACACGGCAGAGAAAACTGTTCACGGCGAGTGGCAAGAAAATGGTAAGGAGGGAAAAACATTTTGGTCAGGTATATATTAGTAGTAGAATTACCAGTAGTAGTAGCGGTAATAGTAGTTTTTTTTGTTTTAAGACTTAAGAACATTGACATTTACAGAAAATTAACAACTATAAAGCACACAAACGTTGACAGCATACATGTACATTGATTGATACGACACACCATAATCTGTAGACTTAAGGATGCAGCCTCGTTATACTAGTTGATTAAATAAAAATGATCCTGTAAATCGCCTTTCATAAAAATGGATTACTGTGCCAAACATTTGAGGTAAGCATTATGTCTTTGATGGAAATATGACATATTTTATTTTAATAAATAATCTTTTTTTCCAGGAGAAGGGCCTAAGCGAAAGCGCACGGACACTTCGGAACCTTCTTCCGAACGTTACGCAGGTCTGTAGCAATGGTGGTACATTCTTGTTGGATGAACTTATTTTCAGTATATGGCCGCATTCACATCGAGTTGAACAAACGTCTCCCCATGTGTCGTCCCAATGGAGCCGAGATTTAATGACTGTACCCCCGCAGGGACGACGCATGGGGAGGCGTGTGAGAGGCGGAGAGAATATTAAAAGATTAGGCGGTTTTCCTTTCATGTACGTCCGCCATATTTAGTTCGTGGCTTTGTAGAGCCATGGCTCAACTTGATGTGAATGCGGTCTAAGTATAACCAAGACCTACCATTTAAGTTCAAAAGTTTTAATCTTTTATTTATATACAAAATAATACATATATTTTTCTGGTCTTACAAAGTACAACAGGCTAACTCATTAGGACAAAGTAAATCCCACACTGTATCCAACACCAAGCTCATTATGAAACTTAACAGTTATTCTTCCCAATTTCTAAAAATTGTGGCAACAAAAAAGTGTAAGATCTCATTCCCATAGGTCTTCATAGATAGACTTCGTTTGGGGGGGGGGGGGGGGGGAGGCAAGAGTCCCTGCAGAGCTGGGTAGATTCACAAAGACTGATGGTGTCTATGGTTCATGACTGTGATAACTTTCCTTTTCTGTAATCAAACAGCCATGTTAACTAAAACCTCATCTACCATCATCTGCCAAAAGTACATTGTTTCTCAAATTTCATAAATTTCAAACGTGATGTTTCATGATG